TAATATATATAGGTATGTATATTTTCTATAAAGTTTAAATATTTAATTTTCATTGAATACATTTAATTTAGTTTTTTTTTTTTTTTTTAATCATGTCATTACATTAAAATAAAATAAGAAAAACACACATAAATAGATACATAGAATTGTTGTCATTACATTTTTAAAATTAATAATATGACTTAAATAATATTTATTTAAATCTTGAAAAAAAAAAAATAATTTTACGGACTGTGGTTTTTAATTACTAATAACAACTGACAATTTTATTTTAATATCAGATATAGTTTATCACATAGTCAAATGTTATACCTATTATTGATAAAAATAGTAAACTAAACAACATAATTAACGATGTATTATATTACAAAAAATATTTTTATTGTGATCAAATAATTTCTGAGTTTTCAAAACATAAGATGGTTATTAGTTAAATATCTATAAATATTTTTGTAAAAAGTAATAAAAAATCAAAATCATATTTTTTTAACATAAATGGATAATTGAATATTAATTATAATGCTGAAGTAAAGGTTGCTTAAAAAAATGGATGTACATATTTTAAGTACGAGTAAATACATATAATAATGTGTATTGCATTTCATTTAGAATTCCTGTACACCTTGACTATAATCTTGAAAAACATAGGTATTTGGAGTGGGTCTTGAATGGTTGTGGATGTATTTACGCACTATAAAACCACAATACCATAAGCAATTAACAGTTTAGTACGTAATACGCCATCTTTAGTGCATAAAGCTTTGAAATACTCTTTATGTATTCAAGTTTCTAAGTAATCCAAACAATACACTTATTTCTCCTGAGGCAGCATAATGTAGCTTTTAGGTGTGTTATTAATATTGACAAAATTTCTACCGACGGAGATTCTAATGTATAACGAGCACATGTTATGAATGAATAAAAAATTACATAGATTGCAAGTTAAGACTTAAGACCAGTGATTTTATTGTTCTTATGTATTTATACCATATACTATGTATCTTATTCAACTATAAAAATATAAAAATCGTACATCTTCAAGTTGTGAGATTGCAAAAAGACACTTTGTTGATAAAATTGGATTTTAGATTTGTTTAAAATATTCATCATTGATGGTCTCTTGAGGGTAAAAAGAAGATGTATAGTAATAGAAATGGAACCGAAAAAAAAAGATTTTTTTTTAATTCGATGATACTACGTTCTACATTATGTTTGGGTCATATTGTAGGATGAATAGACGTTGGAATATTAAATAAATATTATTAAAATAAAAATCGTGACAGCTGGTTTACGATCAAGCTGATTATTTTTAAATATATTATAATATAGATTTATAAATTGTTTAACGCTATACAATTGGTTAAATTAATTATAAAGTACTTATATTAATTTATTTTGAAATCAAAAAGGATAATTATAATTTTAAATCCAACCAACTTTACAAGTATAAAAAAATACGGATAATATACTAGTATGTGCATAGCTTATACCAGGACATATTTTTAAAAAGTAATGATAACACAACTATAAAACTCCATACGAACGTTCATAGATACGAGGGCAGCTTTTAAATCGGCGTATCAGAGACGATCTTTGTTATCTTTTTTTCACACTATGTAATGGTCCTTCGTCAATTTGTGTTATTTTACCAATTCCTTTGAAAAATCCTGTTCTTTTCAAAATTTCTTTGTATCTAGTGGTAATCTTTATAACTGTTTATCCAGTCACAGAGTATACTACAATGAATTCTCGTCTCCCTACAAACTTCATTAAGAACTAAAAACTACCAGTGAACACATGCAACATTTTTATAATTTCACTTGAACTAATTCTACTTAAACTATTTAAATAGCTGAAAAACCATAAAAAGTGTTCGTAATAAATATAATTCTGTAAATTTCAAAACTGTTTACAGGATGTTTTATTTTATCTGTCACACTTGTTTATATATTAAATATAATATATACGATTTGTTGAATAATTCTTTTTTCTATGATAAGCTTTATATGAGGTAAAAAAATAAATGATTTAAGTAGAGTGAAACGATAAGTTACCAAGTTATTTCATTTTGTATTTTTGATTAATTTATAATTATCAAATCATATTTACGTATCGTAATTTGTAGTAACAATTAACACATTGTATATACTATATACAACAATTATATATTTATTTTAACTAGAGGTAGTTAAAAAGTTTAAGTTTATGTTTAAGATTAACCTACAATTTTAATACAACAAAATATTTCTTATAATGCATTCACCATTTTGTATTTTTAAATATATTTATAGTTCATTGTCTTTCATTTTTAAAGGTTACAGCATTAGAGTTAAACAAAATTACTTATGTAGCAATGTCTATAACAAAATTTTTTATATTTAATATAAGCACAAAATACACATAAATAGCAAGCACTGAAAAATAGACAAATAGGTAACAGTTTATGTATAAACTTTTGTCACTAATAAGTAATAGTAATATCGTAGTACAAAGAAGAACACGTAGAATGAAAGCCGTAAGTTATTAAACATTTTTAAATTCTGCTAGTATGTGATGTCAATGTTATAATATTATAATTATTATATTAAGAGTATTAATATTAAACTAGTGATTAGAGTTATGACTAAGAATTAGAGACTATTGAGTTAATTAGTTTATATTATATGATTAATAATTAAAATATACTAATATATATATATTATTGATAATATTTTGTTAATATTAATTGTTATTAATTAAATATTAATACTTTTGAATTATGGATGCACATAATTTGTTTACAAAATAAATCTTGCCAAAAATCCATTCACCATTCACTGACTACATCATAATATTATTTTTTCACAATATTCTTGAAACTTTTTTTTATTCGATTCAGTGTATCTGCAGTAAAATAAAGTAATGTATATATAGGCTTATAAAATTCCACTAAGTTATAGGGAAATATAACTTTTATAGGAAATATATATTTCTTGAAGCTTAACGATGTTAGTATTTGATTTTCTTTTCGATAGAAGTGAAGAAAACAGAAAACTTTGACCATACAAAAACAATAGTGCAATCAGATCTCATAGGTGCATGCTTTTAAATGCATCATGTTTTGCTTTGTTAATGTTCGGTTTCTTGATAATCTGACGAATGTAATATCATAATGAAATCACAAATATTGCGAGCCTGTAGGGAAATATGAAATCCTTTTATTCAGTTAACCTTTCAACAACCAAAATAAATGGTTTTTACTGTTAGAGACGTAGTTTTCGGCATTTCTTATATCACAATAGGTACAATATTATTAATATTATTTCATATAATATGTTTTATTAATATAAATTTAAATACAAATTTGTTTAATGTTTAGTTTTTATATATTTGCTTTATATTACGTATGTTTAATTTTTAGAAATTATTATAAAAATGAATATTATACATACATTTAATATGTACATTGTACATTAAAAAAAAAAATGGAATAAAATATTTATAAACAGCAATTTATGTTATATGATAACATTATTATATATTTTGAAATAAACCTATTACAAAAAGATTCTTGCCTCATTAAGGTTAAAATAATTTTAAAAATAAAACTGAATCATAAACTATAAATTATATAAATGTATACGATATAATATAATTGTAAATAACTATTAATTATAGTTTAATTATTTAAACTTTTTAAAAGTTTACAACGTATGTATACGTTCAAGTCTAAGTATATTTCAAATATTATTGAACTAAAAATTTTCTGAAATGTATGTTATAATATGCACTTAATAAATCAGTATTATTATGATTAATTAATTAAATCAAATAATTAAATTTAAAAAAAAATAATAAAGTGTCTATTAAAATATCACAAATATCTTTTTAGAAAAATGTAAAATTAAATTATTCAATAATACCATAAAATGATTTAATATTTATTAGTTTATGTTTGATGCAAGCAATGCCGCAATCAGCAGAAATATTGTCATGGACCCTCTTTCGTGAGAAAGCCCTTTAAGACTTCGACAATAAATTAAATTAATACATACAACATTTGACCTGCACCTAGACCCCGATAATATATATAAATATATTAATTTCAGACAACAGAAGTTCTTTAAACATGAAAAAGTAAACATAAATTAATTATACAAAAATATTTTATTTTAAAAAAATTAAGTTTTCAGAACCAAAATTTAAATATTTAACTTTTACACACTTCTACAATAATTTATTTCATATTTTAACATTGCATGATAAAATTTAATTATTTAATATTTGTTATTTAATAATTTCACAATTATATTTTTTTTTACTAGGGAAATTCATCGGTTACTACTAATTTTTCTGGTTATTTGCATTCGACGTACAAATATAAAAAATCTTGATCAAATAAGAACATCTGTACAACCGCGACAGCTAATTTCAATTGTACTTTTTGGGGTGCGTGCTTAAATCTATTGCCAAAACGAAATACAAATTTCTTCTTATCAAACTATATGCTATATTCTTAACATAAATCAAGATATAGATTAAAAAAAAAAAAAAAAAAAAACTTATAGATATCACTAATATAAGAATATAATTTTATTAATTCAATAAAGATAAATGCATATATTTATGATATCTAAAAGTGTATTTTATATCATAATATATTAAAATTTCAAAAAAAAAAACAATAAAAATAGTTATTTAACATAATATAATATTAAGTATTTTACTTTAATGAAGTAACAAAAAAAATAACCAAAAAAAAAAAAAGTAATAATAATAATGGTGACATAATAATAATACGTATCTCTAATGAAATTCAATATTATTTATGTTTTATACCTACATAATATAATGTTGCTATATAAGTGGATAGAGTTGTGTCCGTTTAAACATATTTATTTTATATCGATATCTATTAAAATACAAAAATATTTCATCAATTTTTTTCACGTTAATACATAATATATAAATATATAAATAATTAAATCATTTTTTACTTATATCAATTTTAATTTTTGTAGAAGGACTCTATGTGGCAACACGTGCTGAACATAAGATGACCAAATGCGTGGACAATGCCCGGTGGCCAGCCAGTGCAGCTGATCGTCATGGTGTTGGTGTATTGTGGAACAATATTTGCAGATTGGGCCGATTGTCCAACTCCTTGTCAATGCAAGTGGAGTTCAGGGAAAAAAACAGCGTTGTGCAGAGATGCCGATTTTACCGATATACCTTTATCGCTAAATCCAGATATGCAAGTACTTGATCTGAGTTCTAATAACATACGCCACTTACCGGAGGACGCATTTAAAAAAGTAGGACTCCTTAATCTGCAACGAGTATTTTTACGTGGCTGTGGAATACGAAATGTTCATAAAGATGCATTTAGAGAACTGAAAATACTTATAGAACTAGATCTTAGTGATAACTTGATTGGTTCATTGCACCAAGAGACATTTTTGGGAAATGAACGACTTCGTGTACTCTATTTAAATGGAAATCCTTTAACTGAAATTAAGGAAGTTCAATTTCCCGTATTACAGCATCTTCGAACACTAGAATTACAACACTGTCAAATTAAGCGAATTCATAGAGATGCTTTCTTGCACTTGTCTTCGTTAGAGTCTTTAAATTTAAATGGAAACCTATTAAAGTGGTTATCAGAAACTGTATTTTTGCCAATATCAAAACTAAAAACATTATCTTTGGATGGAAACCCGTGGGTATGTGATTGCCATCTAAGGAATTTTCGAAACTGGTTTGTTTCGTCAAATTTATACTCGCACCCATTGTCATGTATTGAACCAAATATATTGTCGGGTATTCGGTGGGAGAATATAAAACCACCAGAGTTTGCATGTCCTCCATTAGTCAAAATTGACAGAAACAGTGTGTTAGAAGATGCTGGTAATATTACTTTTACATGTAAAGTGACCGGAGATCCTGAGCCAGAAGTGAGCTGGTATTTCAATGGACATAGTATAGACAACTATACCGATCGAATGGATGAAAATCGTACATGGCTAGATAACAATCAAATGTGGAGTGCTCTTCACATATTCAATGTTTCAGATGTAGTGGCTGGCGAATTTACTTGTGAAGCTCGGAATTTACGTGGGAAAATGTCAGCCAATGTATCCTTAGCTTTACCAGAAGTAGCAGTTGCTACGACATTGAGTAAATCTAAATCTATGTACTTGGTTATAGTTTGTGTAGCCGCTAGTGCAATGGTTTTATTATTTTTAATAGGCTTGACATGTTGCGTATGTCAAGTGAAGAAATCTGGTGGACGGCGTGATAGTAAGACTAATTTTAAAGGAAGTACTAGTTTCAGCGATGCAGACAAACGACTTCTTGACGCTAGCATATCCACTACACAAGCTGGTAGCTGTGAAATGCTTGGTGGCTCTTCTTGCCAGGACTTGGAGCTCATTGAACAGTCATTACAAAATATCCCATTGGCTTCCGTTTGCGATCAACAACCGGTTCACATAACTATCGAAAGTCATGACCCTAATTCTAGTTTGTCACTGTACCCACCACCACCAGAATTTTCCACTAGTATTTTGCCATCAGTCAGTGGTTTCGGAAATATATTTATTTCAGTATCAGTAAGTCAAGAACCACCAGACCCTGAATCTAGGTATCCAGACTTGCTTGACATGAAACACAGACAAAAACAAAACGTTAGTGTTGGTACCAGCTCAACCCATCATCTTCCACCAGCTTCGTCATACTACGCTACTATGCCAAGGAAAAAACGATTAATAGACCATCAATCCATCAAATCGGTGATGCCAAATTACGATAACATGGGTCCGAGAATTACTGCAACAGGAAGTTGTACGAACCTGTCATCGTTTTCTAATAGCGGTGAATCTTCCGACGATATACCACCGCCACCACCGCCACCTTTATGTACTGGACACACTGATTACGTGGCTCTGTAATTAAACAATAATTTAAGTACTAATTGAAAAATAATTTTTTAGATCATTAATAGATAAATATTTTTAAAAAAAAATACTTAACTAATATGTAGGATTTCGATATTGTTTACAATATTAAATATTATATTAACGAAAAAAAAAAAAAAAAAAACAAAACAAAACTTATGTAAAATGTTTGAATCAAAATAACATTTGGAAGAAATCTGTACAGTCAAAGTTAAATACAATTTAAGAGAAAGTATTGTTACTATTGACATTTAAACATTACATTGAAAACTTAAGTCGTATTATCCGTCATCAATCACATGGCATTTATTAATGGGGCAGTATTATTAATAAAATAGCATTATAGAGGAAAACCTGAATACAATAAATAATGATGAGAAATAGAAAGAAAAAAAGTAATCATTGTATAAATAAAAGTTTGGTCTTGTTTAATATTTGTATGTTTTTTTTTACAAAGTCAGTAGGTTAAATTTGACAATCTATAGTTTTAATACTTAAACGATAAGTATTTTATGTTAAAATGGGAGTCAAAAATCTTATTTTCTAATTAATCATGGTTTTATTATCGCTTTCTATAAAAAAAAAAATATTTACTAAAATACATTTTTTCAAGAAAATATAAAAATATATTGTATTTCTGTTTAATTATAGTATTAGATTGTAATTTGATTAATTGTTAAGTTTAAAATTATTTATAAACATAAATTTCTGAATCTCATTAAGTTATCAACTTAATCAATAACTTTTAAATGGCAAATTTAATTTATTAATAACTTACATTCATTATTAAAATTTTAAATTATTATTTAAAGACTATACCTAAATAAATATAATTTTATACCCCGTGAATCTTTTATTTTAATTTTTCATATTCATTGATAATAAAACAACACATTACAAGACATGAAATTAATAAGTAAGATACAATATAATTTTTCTCCTGTAACAAATATTACAATAAAATAATATAAAAAAATTATATCAGATAAAGTTATTAATTAAAAATAATTAAAAATTAATTTAATGAATGTACCACATAAGTAATATTTTGAAAACTTCATCATCCTCAGTTTAATTTAAACATTGTAACGTATATTTTTATCTTTAAAAAAAGATAAGTAACCAAAATTCAGTCGATAGTATTATAATATAATACATTTTAATATTTCTTATTACACTTCTATAAAATGTTAAAAGTTGTATACTTAATAGTTTGTACTATTGCTCGTTGATTTAAAAAAAAAAAATTTTTTTATTTAATGTGAAAATTTATACTTATTTTTAAAGTAAGACGATTAGACAATAAATATAACAATTATATACCTAAATCCATCTAACTTGGTACTATTTTTAACCATAAAATTAAAAAAGTAAGATCGATGTGAAAATAAATTATTACACTATATCGATCGGTTTTTTTTTCTATTTACTCTATTAACTTAAACAAATCTCAGAGAAAGTGAAACCCATTCGTATTATTTGATTTAAAATACATTTTTTACACATATCATTTTAATTAATTATGTTTTATTACTTTATTATATAATTTAAAAATGTGTTTATAATTTATTTTTTATTTTTTAAGAGAAGTAATTAAAAATTAAGAAAAAAAATATTAAATGTAGGTTTTGGCATATCATGTGATTATAGTAAGAATTATATATGTAGTATGCATACCATTTTATTATGAAATCCATAAAAAATTAAATCTTACAAAATAACAAAAAAATAACACCCCTGAAAATTTCATAAAAATGTTTAATTCTTTGGTTGATAATGATAGTCTATATAATATTATGTACGATATCCTCATATAATGTCCATTAAGATTAAATTAAAAACTACAATTATTTTCAATAATGAAAGTAGGCCTTGTTAAGTTTCATTAAGTAATTATATTACTACCTACTAAAGTTTTGTTATGAACGATTTTATCAAGTTGATAAAAAAAATGAGTTATGATGAAGTAATAGTATTATTTAATTAATTGTGAAAAAAAAAATAAGAAAACAAACATTGAAAAACCAAAATAAATCTTTGGATTTAAAGGTTTAAGATATTATTTTTTTTATATTACATTTGAATTTATTTAAATATTTCAATATTATTTCTACAAACAAAAAATATCAATTTTTTTTTTTTAAATTATGATTTTTGTAGATTGTGACAAGTAGTTAAATAACATTGAAGTTCTGTGTTTAAAACGTGACAGTGTAGCTTATGAATGCATATTATAGACGGACCTACAGGATACAAAACTGTCTTTTATTATTAAAATAATTATTATTATTGTAAAAAATAAATACCAAATGTAATAATTTTAAGGTATTTTATTTATTCTGTTTGTATTAAGTTTTATTTGCTTTTGACGCCACAAGACGTATTCTTTTATCTTCTTTGAAAACATGTCACAAAAAAAAAAAAAAAAATTGTATTATTCTATAGTTATGAATAAATATGGAATTTTTTGTTTGCTTTGAAATAATTATAAATATTTATACACAGATATAATATATATGTAATAAATATATGTTCCTTGTTGGTGTTAATAAATTATATTGTACAGTAAAAATGTATGTCAATAATTAAGCAAAATCTAATTCACAATTTCTTTTTTGTTGTAGTTTATATTTCATTACATATTTATTAAACATGATTTGTAGTTTATTGTAACCGTATGTGAAATAAAATGAAAACTATATTCAAAATTAAAAACCTTGTTATTTTTAACATCTCAATTTAAAATTCATTTAAATTGATATGTTATTTAATTAAAAAACAAAATTTATTCAATTTTAAACAGAGGCTAATAAAAAAAAACATAATTAAATGTTTTATAAGTATACAATGAATTATTTTCATTGATATGACTGATTTTACTACAAGTATAAAGATACGAATGATATGATTATACAAATACAAATATAAATATAAAAATGTATTAAAAAAAAACCGTGTTATTTGTTCAGACTATGTTAACCACGTAAAACGATACAATAATAATAAAAAACTGGTAGGTCACTGTAAATATTATACTACGTATGTACTGATATTTTATTATTGTACTCACAGTGACTGAATCCTCATCATATTATCATCATACATTTTTAATTTATGGGTTTTTTCACTTTTAATTTGATCTTAACTGTCAGTTATTTTGCTTTTAATTCTTCATTATATTATATTATTATAATCATAGTACAAGTATATTACCTATTTTCTAAACGAAATACTCTTGAAGTCTTTTTATACATTTTCGTTATGGCTCTTCGTATTAAACATATTATATTCGTTCATTTTATGATATTATTTTGTGAAGAAAATATTTGAACACCGACTATAAATCAAATGTTCAAAATAATAAAATTAATTTGAACTATGCGGTTCTCTATTTAAAAATTTTTGTTAAAATAATTTTATATACTTATTTATTAATCACTTTTGATATTAGTTTCGTATTTAATTCATTGGATTCGTGATTTGATTCTTAACATCATATATATATATATAATAATCAATTTCACAAAAATCTAATAATAGGTATTTAATTAATTATACAACCGATACTTAATTAATTCATAGAACAAAATTAATCGTATTAATTAAGTGATATCATAAGATATTAAAGTTAATGATAAAAAATAAAACATTCTTTTTCCTATATTATTTTTACAAACTAGATTTTAAATAGTAGCAAATTAACTTTAAACACGACCATAATTGTAATAGATATATACTAATATGTGATTTAAAATTATAATTTTTATAATACTCTGTAATTATTTTCATATATTATTATACAAATTAAGTTAAACCCACTTCTAAAAAAATACAAATTAAATTATTTTAATCTTTTTTCTTGAACTATATTTATAACTGACAGTTTATTAATCGATTTTAAATATTAAATACAAGTTTAAATAACAGAGTATGTAAATTAATTAAAACTTCTATTTGTTCTGTTACTTAGACATTATATATTAATAATTTCATGATGAAGTATATTAATTTTGTTTTATTAAATTTCCTTATATAAAATTATAAAAATAATAATACAATAATTGAATAATGTAATAGAAATGTAGAATACATAATAATACATAACTCTATAATGTATACAAACCAATTAATTTTTATCTAAATTCTTAGAACATGATCTTTATGTAAATTGTAAAATAATAAAATATTTGATATTCGTGGTCATCGGTATTTTTCCCGAATCGAAATTCCTGAATGCATTTTTCCCAAAAGTCCAAAAAAGGATAGTAAAGAATTAGTAATATAAATGTTTTTATTATTATTATTAACCAAGTTAAGCGACTCGTTACTTTTTATAATAGCGACAAGTTTCCAAATTAGGTGATTGATGTGTGCATGCGCGATGCCACTCATCGCATAATTATCCATAGTAATTATATAATTATCCAATGGATACTGTGGATAAAAATGCGAGAAATTGTGTTTCGCATGCGCATATCAAACACCTTATTCGATGACTTGTCGCTAATATCGGCAACATTTTTTTGTATTAATATAATACGCCATGGCTTCATCCATAGAATATATCTAAGCTTTATAGTAATAATGGTACGTTTTTTTCCGTTTTATTGGTGTATGGATAGCGGGGCAATAATAAACCAGTACCATTTTACTTACTTAACTTAATTTACTTTTTCTTATACCTATTAGCCTAATTTAAAGAGTTATAAAAATTTTAACTTTTTAGAAAATATGAGAGATAAAAGCCATCTAACCTTAAAATTCCCGTCTAAAAACCAGCAATCACTCTCGGCCAATAACTCTGAATTTCTTCGAGTTTAAAACACAACAACTCTACCTTCACTGACAGAATCACCATCGAGCGAATCATAAATTAAAAATGTTTCACACATAATTATCTTCTGATACTGATCGGAAAGAGTACCCAAGTCAGAAAGTGTTTTCGGATTAGGCGGCAATTTTTTCCTTATATGTAAAATAGAGAAAATTAGAATATATTCATAAAAAAGTGGAAAAAATAAATACCTCCAGAATTGACG